TGAAGGGCCATCTACAGAGGAAGTGCTGCAGGTCAACACGGGTGCTCAATCGACCAGAATCCTGTGACACAGTCAGACTGCCCTCTTGGGACTCAACTGCCAGCAAAGGCGTGACAGGGTAATCCCTCTCTTTCCCTCCTCCTTTCCCTCTCCTGCTCTCCATCCTCCTCCTCTCCATCTTTCCCTCTGTTGTAGTTTGAATGAGATGTCCCCCATAAGGCATTTGAATACTTGGTCCCCAGTTGGTGGGACTGTTTGGGAAGGATTAGGAGGTATAGCCTCGAAGGAGGTGTGCCACTGGGGGCTGGCTTTGAGGTTTCAAAAGCCCACTCCATTTCCAGTTAACTTTTTCTCTTTGTTTCCAGTTTGTATCTCAAAATATGAGCTCTCACCTACTGCTCCAATGTCATATCTGCCTACTGCCATGCTCCCCTCTTGATGGTTGGTCATGGTGTCTAATCACTATTACAGGCAGGATATTTGATCACACAATGAACCTGAGATTGCATTATTTACTGGAAAAATCTGCTTCTAGTTGTGGTGTGGCTCAGGCAGGCCTAGCACAAACTTTTTAGTCCAGGAGCTTTCTGCTTGAATACTGTAAACAGGATTAAATAAAACCAACCTATGTCAAGAGGTGGAGCAAGCAACCAGTTGCCAGGAAATAACCACAGAGAGTAAGAGGAAATCAGGAGAGATGCACAGGAAGTAGAAGGGAGGAGGAACATCTGGTTGGCGGATATTTGAGAAACTTCCAAACAGGGCTTTTTTTCTTGGACAGTGATGGAGGAGGAAGCAGCTGGGTGCTTTCTCTGCCTCTAGCAGGTTTTCACCCCAGTGTCTGGCTCCTGAGTCTTTACTGATTGGTAGAATGATAGAGACTTAGTTTAAAACAACATATCAGGACAATAGAACAGTAACTAGTCACCCCGTCCCCTTCCCTACTCTGCCATCCCCATCTTCCTCCCTCCTCATTCCCTTTTTCTTCTATGTGAAGGTGGAGTTCAGGGACCCATGCACACTGGATATGCTACAACTCACCTGATCCCAAATTTTTAAGGATTTGTGTAGGAAAAACAAGAGAGCCTTCATGTAGTAATGGTTGATAGATACAGTTTAACTTTTAAACTTAAATACATTAAATATTGTTTCATAATGAGAGGAGAGAATTTAATTAGATTTAAAAACAAAAAAACAAAAAAAGCTTAGGCCCAGGATTATACAGTCAGGTATCTGGAGAAACTTCATTCAATCAAGTGGTCTAACTGTGGAGTTAAGGAACAGTGTGTAGACGGCCATCCCTTGTCATGTCTTCATTCTCAGTCAAGCCTGAGAGCAGCCATGATACCAAGTATACTACTATTTGGCTTCACCTTATCCTGATGCAGGTAGAGGGGGAGGCAGTGGGCCCAGGAAGACTCTGGTTGTCTTCTGTCAGTGACCTAGGGTCAATCACCTAACTTGTTTTAGTCCACTCTTCCTTTGTGAGGTGGGAGAAAAGTGTCTCTCACAGGGGTTGAATAACTCCCAAGGATCTGTGCGGGAGGAATGACCTACAAGTTAGGTCATTCTGTGTAAAACTAGAATGGGCCTTCTAGCTTCAGCCTCCGGTCCACACTCAGCCACACTTTGAGACCTGTTGCACTCCAGGACCTATGCCAGGTATTTTGTATCCTGAGCCACTAGCCTGGTAGCTTAACGGCCTTGGGGGAACCTGCCAGTGACTGTGTGGTAGACGACTTCCCCTGCACACTAACAGAATGTTTCCAGGTCTGTGAGTCTGGAGAGGGCAGCCCAGGCCTTAGAAAGAGCTCCCTCACCAGGCATTCCCATGGAGCTTGGCACTGCCAACCATTGTGAAGCAGGAATAGCTGACTAGGAGTGTTTGTAAAAGGACAAGACCCTATTTCATAATATCAATAAAATAAAAGTATACTTCCCCAGAAATATACTTGTCCTATTTGGTATGAACAATGGTAGTTTTTAGATATCCAGAGAAAATCCTGATGCCACACCCCCCACCAGGCCTTTCCAGCACTGAGCTGCCTTGGACTTGGTGCTGGCAAATGGCAGGGTTGTGTCTTGGCTGCTGCTAATGGGCTCACAGCATACTTCTTTTGCTTTCAGAAGTGACTGGAGAAGCTCGTCCTTACCATGGGAAGGAGACCTTGGACCTGTGGCAGGGGCGGACCAGAGGAGGTGACCCCACACACTTCCACACAGTGAACATGGCTCAGCCTGTCCGCTTCAGCAGTAAGTTGCGGACCTGCCCTGAGTTAGCCCACCTTGAGTGTGCAGCCTCAGTTAGCCCTGGCTCTCTTCAGGCTGCTGCTGGGGAGATAGGTTTACAAAGCAGCCCTGGAAGATGTTGGGAGAACATGAGTGAGGCTGCATGTGAGAGTGCATAGCTATAGCATGCAAGCGGCCTCCCTCTTTTAGTGCTTAGTCAGTGAATGATCTGTGACAATACTTCTGAAGGAGCATAACAAGGCTGAAGAAAAGTAAACATAGTTTAAAATGCCCCCGCCCTGCACAGCCTTGCTAAGGTGACTTATGGCAGAAGGACTGGTGTTTAATGTGCTTCTGAAGGACATAGGGATCTGTTTTCTGTGTTAACTCTTAGCCCCAGCCTCAACATGGGAGCTGACTCTGAGGCACTGTGCACTCAGCCTCTGCCTGCAGCCTGTGCTGACCATCACCAAACCTGCATCTTGCCTGCAGCCTGAGCTGACCATCACCAAACCTAGATCTTGGCCACCAAGCTACAGAGACTGCTGAGCCCAACACAGTGCAGTGAGGAGCCCTGGAAAGTCAACCACTTTCCAGGCTCCCAGCACCTCACAGCACACACCAGCCTTGCATCGAGTCATAGTTCTTAGTCTGAGTGAAGATAGGAAACGTACCCAGGCATCTGAGCTGTCCCTCAGGAAGTATGTCCTGTGTATACTGAGCCATACTGTCCCTTCCAGGAGGATCCACATCCCTATGCACTCAGCATGCTTATCTGAGGCTTGGACAGTGACCAGATACTGCTATCTCGCTGCCATCCTTGCACACAGTATTGTCAACATGTGGCTCTGTTATTAAGTCAGTCACACATACTTTAAATCTAAACATGAATCGGGCTGGTGAGATGGCTCAGCAGTTAAGAGCATTGGCTGTTCATTCCAGGGCCATGTGTTTAATTACCAGCACTCATATGGTGGCTCACAAGGAAGCAAACCATACACATAGATGAAAATAAAAACATGGGCATAAACCCCTAATAAGTTTTACCAGTTTCATGGCATGTGGGTACATTTTTAAATAGCATCTTTTGACAACTGACATAGCTAAGAGTGTAGGAGGGTACTCTAGCCAGGTAGGTGTTGGTTGGTGCACACCCTTAATCCCAACACTTGGGAGGCAGAGGCAGGCAGATCTCTGTGAGTTCCAGGCCAGCCTAGTCTACATGGAGGCTTTCAGGCCAGCCAGAGCTACATAGTGAAACTGTCTCCAAATAGAAACAGAATTGACAGTGAATCTAGAGGAAAGAGAAAGGGTTTTTGTTTTAGTTTTGGTTTGGTTTTTCGAAACATGGTTTCTCTGTAGCTTTGGAGCCTATCCTGGAACCTGCTCTGTAGACCAGGCTGGCCTCGAACTCACAGATATCCACATGCCTCTGACTCCCAAGGGTTGGGATTAAAGGTATGTGCCAACACCACCCATCGAGAAAGGGGGTGTATTAGATTGGCTTACAGGCTGTGGTCCAGCTAGTTCAGCAATGGCTGTCTACCAATGGAAGGTCCAAGAATCCAGTAGTTGTTCAGTCCATGAGGCTGGATGCTATAATGCCAGTGTAGGAAAGGACTTGTCAGCAAGAGCTAAGGCAAACAGGCAGAGAGTGGCTTAAATTATTTAATTAGGAAAGAAAGCCCACACTTGGGTTTTAGTGAATTCCAGGTTTAGTCAAGTTGACAACCAACAATAGCATCAGAGCACAAACATTTGAATGAATGCTCAAGATCTATGGAGCAGATCGATAAAGTGTAAAGTGCCAATACTTCCCATGCCTAAGGGGCACATGAACCATCCGAGAATGAGAAAATGCTGGAGGTGTCCTGGGGATAGGGCTCTCACTACCTCAGCCTCACCAGCTTGGCAAAGCTGTGTCTCCTTTTCTCATCTATGAGAGGCATGTTTGGACCCTCTGAAATTAGATTTATGGAGCTGTTTTAGGGGAATGCTGGTTGGCCCCTTACTGAAAATACCTTTGAACAGAAAAGAGACATGGGGCTTGCTGGCAGCAGAGGCCAGAAACTGACAGTTCTGGTGTTTTGCTTACTCCTAGGGCCTCCCTGAGACTAATTTTCTGCTTTGTTAACCAGATATAAGCAGAGAATGAACTGTTAGAGAAATTATCTCGCAACTGTTGTTGACTACTAAGGAGGTTGAAGAAGCATGAAGAAGCATTGAGGGGCCTTGAATACATGTATACCCTAGGTTGGATTGTGCTTTTTAGAAGGACCTGAGCATTTGGGCCAATGTGACCCATCTTGGGGCTGGGAGCTTATCGCTGTAAGTGAAACCACAGTGGAACCTACCGACCTAGACACTCTGGGTAGAAAGATTTATTGAGCATCCACCCATCCACCTGCCAAGGTTCTCTCTCTCAGTGGGGACAGAGAGAAGAAGAAAATGGAGGAAAGACAAGCAGATTATTTGACTGTCAGGATGGGGATTCTTGAACTGACACAATGTCTAGATTGCATAGGTGCCCTTGCCTGGGGTAGTTGGTGATTCTGAGGTGTATCTGTTGTTGATATAGCACATGTAATTTCAGTTTTGAAGTCAGGATCCTAATTTGGGGGACAACTCCCCTTCCGTTCTCCATGCTTCCTAGGGAAATGCCCAACTGGGTGGCACCACTATGAAGGCACAGCCAGCTGCTACCGGGTCTACCTCAGTGGAGAGAACTATTGGGACGCTGCACAGACCTGCCAGCGTGTGAACGGCTCGCTCGCCACTTTCTCCACTGACCAGGAGCTGCGCTTCGTTCTGGCACAGGAATGGGACCAGCCAGAGCGGAGCTTCGGCTGGAAAGACCAACGCAAGTGAGTCCCAGGATTCAGAGTCTGTTTACTGCCGAGCACTCACTGGCAGCCCCCCTTGGGGAAGGCAGTCCCCATCAGTAGAAGCAGGTAGAGATCCAGGGGCTTAGTTTGGCATCAAGATGACATTTGAGGGCTTGTGAAAAAACAAGGAGTACAGGGGCCCCATTGCTGCTTTGTGGGATCATGGACCAGTCTCTTTCACTGGTTCCTTCTGTGGATACAGCTGCACTTGATGACTATGGCCAGGTTGTGCTAGTCTGAATCCCAGTGGGCTGCTCAGTGGGTTTCTGGGCATAAGAAGGGTACTCAGGGGGATGGGAGTGCTTTCTGATAGGTAAGCCTGTCAGCTCTGCTGGGTGCTGCCTGTGGCTCTGCTCAGTCTTTCTCAGACACCTTAGGCTTCCTAGTGCTGATACATGTGACAGTTGATGAGCTCAGGGGCATGTGCCAGGCCTTGCTTAGGCAGTCTGCCTAGAACCTGCCTCCTGAACTGCAGGCCCTGCTCATGTAGAGGAAGCAGAAAAGTAGCAGCCAACTCAAAGGCTCGGTATCTATGGGGCTTTTGTTTAGGGTACAGCAATGCACCGAAATTCTCAGGGTGCTACCTCTAGAAGCAATACCATGTGTCCCATCTGTGCTGTGTTGGAATTGGCAGCCAGTTGTCTCCTCTCCTCTAGAAGGGAGCACAGTGTTCACTGCCAGTCACTTGCTGCCTCCTAATAATGGCACAGCTCCATTCTACCAGGGGAGCATGATGACCTAAGGCAGGTAGCCAGAGGGCCATTTCAAGATAAGCTACAGTTATGTCATGTGTGGCAAACCAGAACACTGTGCTGTTTCTTATGTGCAGCTGCAGTGTTGGATAAATAACTCATCTGCCCTGGGCCTCACAAGAACACCCTGTGTACATGTGTACATAACCTGCATTGCTCACAGCAGTTTTTACTCTCGGTGTGGGCTGCAGTGGCATGGTGCTTCAAGTGGTATCAGATCTGTAGGAGTACATCTCTAGAACTGGAACTGGAGAGCTAAGGCAAGGTGAGAAGGCTCAGAACTGTTAGGTGCTTGTAGCATTCAGTCAGGTCCATGTGCAGGTGCCTCAGTGTTTGGTGACACAGATTGGGGACGTGCTGCAGGCTTGAAAGAGGCTAAGCAGAAAGCAGTGAATGTGGTAATGTATGTTCACAGTTCTATATCCTCAGAATTGTGTTTCTATGACAGTATATCCAAGGTCATCCTGGCTTTGAATATGAAAGTTTTACACCATCAGCTAAAAAGAACAGGCTTGGTGGGATACCAGATGTAAAACTTTCTGAGCTGTGAGTTTGTTTAGAAAATGGATTTTATTAAAATTGAAAGGAAAACTTTAATGATTCATGTAAATAGATTTTCTTTGGGCACCATCTCACAAAAAACAACAGACTTAGGAATAATTATGAATGCTCAGCCTATAGCTTAGGCTTGCCCACTAACTCTTATAACTTAAATTAACCCATTTCTATTCGTCTACATGTTTCCTTGTGACTTGCAGCTTTTACCTCCTGCATTCCTGTTCTCTCTGGTCCTGCTAACAACTCCTCCTTTCTTTCCAGAACTCTGTCTGTCCAGAAGTCCTGCCTATACCTTCTGCCTTGCTATTGGCCATTTAGCTCTTTATTAAACCAATCACTGTGACACATCTTCACACAGTGTAAAGGAATAGTCCACAACAGATTCATTTTAGAATTTTACTTTTTTAGAGGTCAGTATAACTACGAAAGCATGTACACAGGACTGATAACTGAGTGGCAGAGACATAAATGAACGATACTCTGGGTGTAGTGGCACATGCCTGTAATTCCAGCTACTTAGGTTGAGCCAGTAGGGTCAAAGCTCAGTGCAAGTCTATCCCAAAATAAATAATGGTATAGGAGTAGAGTGTTTGCCTTGCTCTTGGGACCAAAAGATCAATTAATGTTCTCAGTTCCATTAAATACATCCCGTCAATGGCTCATTTGCCCCGTTGCTGAGGTTTCTCTCTGTCCTGCAGGCTGTGGGTTGGTTATCAGTATATCATCACTGGGCGGAATCATTCCTTAGAAGGTCGCTGGGAAGTGGCATTCAAAGGTAAGCATTCTCATATGTTAAGTGTGAAATGGAACCACCCTGACTCAAGACATTGCCAGAGTCTCCCTGCCTGCCTCCACCTAGTGGTTACTTGATTTGCAAGGCCACAGGGGTTGCAGAGAGGGCACCCTGGGCCAGCATACTGCCTACCAGTCAGGCCCTGTTTGTTTCTGGGATCTCCTCTGGAGCTGTACAGCCTTTAGCTCTTGGTAGTCCTCCAGCCCCATGGTTGGTGTCATGTCCAGTTAACACCAGGACCCCCTTGAGTGTATGACAAACTGCTAAAGGTTGGACATGTCTATCCTCACCTTTATTCTCCACAGGCTCCTCAGAAGTGTTTCTGCCTCCAGATCCCATCTTTGCCTCAGCCATGTCTGAGAGTGACAATGTGTTCTGCGCCCAGCTCCAGTGTTTCCACTTTCCTACACTGAGGCACCATGACCTCCATAGCTGGCATGCCGAGAGCTGCTCTGAGAAGTCTTCGTTTCTGTGTAAAAGAAGTGAGTGCTGGAGGTCAGCCTCCGGTGTGCTCTGACCCTGTGGTGCTCTCACATGCCTCCACCCAGCTGGCCTCTAGCTGTGTGGCCTGGGCAGCCATAGGTGTTCTTGACCCCCTGACCACAATTTCTGCTTTATTGGCTTCAGTGTTCCTCAGAGATTAGGGGAGGGCAGTGACCTCAGGATTTGCCAATCCTGCGGCAGCTCTGCATCCCCCAGGGCCTTGGTAATTTTGCAGCTGGATATCCCCTTTGACCCTGTCTTATCTGTGTCTCCTCAACCCTCTGCCACCCACATTTGACGTCCCTTGTAGGGTAGCACACCAAGCCAAGTTGGGACACCCCCCCCATCCTCAGGATAGGAAGGGGTGAAGAGGAAGATTGGTCTTGGTTTGCTGACAGTCGCTGAAGTGATGGTTGAAATGAGGCGTGTCCTCAGTTCTGGCCTTGTGAACTAGCTGTTCTCCTTTGTTGATGTGTTGGCGCCCCTCCTCCCCTGCTGTGTCACTGTCAGTCTGTGTCAGCATCATGCTGCCAGGGAACAGGTTAGACTGGACCTCAACATCTGGCATGTATTTCCCCCTCTCTCTCTCTCTGACTATTGATCTTCTGGGCCTTTTTCTCTTCTACACAAATTTTAGAGTTTTTTGTTTTTCTTATTAGTTCTTTTAGTATGGGATCCTTTTAGATATCTCATGGACAGTTTTGGAACTTTGAAACCTTGCACCAGATTTCTTGAGCTCTTCTTGCTGAGGTCTCCAGTACGGACGGTATGGCGTTGATTAGGAATTCTAAGAATGCATTTAGTGTGTCAGCATCAAGCTTAATGCTTTCTACAGGATTTTAAAATGTATCTTTGGGAGTAAAGGAATTGCATTTCTGTTTCTACTTTTCCAGGAATATTCATTCATGCCACCAAAAATGCTGAGTTTTACTACAGAGTTTTTTCTGGTTTTCAAAATTAATGTAGGTTTTTCTACTTTAATCTCATCACTTTGTTCATTTTTTGTTAGGCTGCCTTTTTTGATCTAGGTTTTCACTGTGTTGCTCATGCTCATCTTGAACACCTGTGCTCCAGTAACTGTCTTCACCCTCCTGGGCAGCTGGGACCTCAGGCACTCACTATCATATTTGCTGTTTAACCACCCTTGTGGGGTTTTTGTATTTCACATTGCTGAATTTCATTTGTTGATACAAATTTTCATTTGTCTTAACATTTGTTTTAACTCTTAAGAGGTGAGCCTGGCCTGGTACATTCCTTTTCTGTACTCTCCTTGGCTCATATTTTTGTTTTTTAAATGTAATTCAGTTTTAAGATTATTCTTGCAACTTATCTTCATAATACAGATATCATAAAATGCAAGAAAATTAGCTTTCCACAATATGTGAGTGGTTGGTGCTAAGAAATATCCCTAAGGTCCATGAGATGGCTCTGCAGGTAAAGGTGCTTGCCAGACACTGAGCTCCATGCCCAGAACCTGGCTGGTGTGAGGAGAGAACCTCCCTCACCCTGTCTTTTGACAAGCACACATGCACCATTTTTGTGTGATCGCATGTGCGCGTGCGCACACGCACACACATATACACACACACACACAAACACATACACACACTAGTAAATGTAACTTGAAATTGTAAAGGTTTTTCAAATACAAATGACAATCAAATAAAGATCCAGTTATCAAGATGAAAATTACTTAGCATATTAAAAGTTAACAATAATTTGTATAGCCCTTATAAAAAAGTCAAATTCTGCTGTGCCTGGTGGCACACACCATTAATCCCAATACCGCTGGGAAGTCAGAGGCAGGTATGTCTCTTAAATTGTAGACCAACCAGAACTAATATTAAGACCCTTCCTCAAAACAAATAAATAAATGAATAAATGAATGAATAAGCATTTGCCTTCGTTAGGAAGGTGTTGGGTTTTGATTATACTGATTTTGGCAGCCAGGTTGTTTTAAATATGAAATGACATTGTAGTGCTAGTCCAACCAACAGTGTTAACTATGCAAGTAATCAAGAGACATCCAGGAGACTAGCTTCTTAGCTCCTAAAGCACTTGCAAAGAAAACCCTTGGTGGGCTAGGGAGAGGGGGTGGGCAGCTGGAGAGGGGGGTGGGCATTTGGGGAGGGGATAAGTAACTAGGGACAGGGGTCAGCCAGGGAGGAAATGGGGTGGCTAGGGAGAGGGGTGGGCAGCTGGGGAAGAGTGGGTACTGCTGGAGATATAACTGAAATAGAGAGTACTTGGTGGCCAGGTATGTCTATTGAATTCTTTTCCTTGGCCTTTTTTTTTTTTTTTTTTCATCAAAAGATAAAAAGTGTGGAATATATAACAACCCTGCACTGCCTGCTCAGCAGTTGTCCAACTCAGACATCACCAAACTATCTGCACATTGATAAATCCCATTAATCTTGGAAAGTTCACTTATCTACTAAAATATGAAGTCACAAAAAGAACTGAAACACACTGTTTACATGATGGACGTAAGATTTAAATGTGAATCTGAAGTTATACATAACCATTTTATCTCTTGTCTCACTAAATATTCCTGTGTGATCATGTTTGTTTTTACTATTTCTCAGCAGAGTTAAAATCTCAACAGCAGCCACCCAGATACAACATCTCATCAGAAAGATTGTCTCTCTTCTGTTTCCCTAACCTTCCTAAGTATATAGTCAGTTTTATAACATGACCAGATACTAGGTCGTTGATGACAAGCTAGGTCCAGATTTATTACAAACCCTTCGTGGTGTGACATAGTTGGTGGAACCCAAGTATAGAAGCCTGCATCAGTCCTCCGAGCAGATTGTACACACTTCCTGTGTGTGACAGTTTACTACTGCTCTGACCTTCAACCTCTGCCTTGCATCTAAAAGTCCCTGAACATGGCTCAGGGAAATACTCTCACAGGGAGGACATCTGACCCCAGTGGGCAGTACTCAATTATTTCATCTATGACTTCCAAGATAGGCTGTGCAAAGTCAAACTTAGGGTGAAAAAAGATTTTGAAGGGCTGGAGACATGGCTCAGTGGTTAAGAACCATGTGCAATTCACAGTAGCCATGTTGGGAAACTCACAGCCACCTGTAACTCCAGCTACAGGGAACCTAATGCTCTCTTCTGACTTCCATGGGCACCCACACACACATGAACATACCTACCCACAGATATACACACGTACATATAATTAAAGATACTTTTTTTTTTTTAATTTTATGTTCCAAGAATCCCTTTCAGTGAGTGTCACTAGAAAGGTTATTTTTGTTTATAAACATGTTTGTGTGTCATGCATTTTTGTGCACACATGTCTCCACCCTCAGGAGTGGAGCTCCTGGAACAACCCTCAGGAGTGAGCTGGTTTTCTTCCACCATGTGGTTTCTAGAGATTGATCACAGACCATCAGGTTTGGAAGACAGAAGCCATTCCCAAGATTCTCTTCCTTTATGTTTGTTTGTTTGTTTGTTTGTTTGAGACAGGGTTTCTGGGTAGCTTTGGAGCATGTCTGTAACTCAATCTATAGACTAGACTGGCCTCAAGCTCACAGCAATCTGCCTGTCTCTGCCTCACCAGTGCTGGGATTAAAGGTGAGCGCCACCACCACCTGGCAAATGAGTTTGAAGGCTGAGGGGACCAGTCCCACTTTTTATTAATTAATTGACTTGTTTATTTATTGGTTTCTTTGTGTAGCTTTGGCTGTCCTAGAACTCTGTAGGCCAGGCTGGCCTCATAGAGATCTGCCTGCTTCTGCCTCTGGAGTGTTAGGATTAAAGGCGTGTACCACCACAGCCTAGCTGTCCATTTTTTTCTAGCAGGTTGACTGCAGCGTACTGTCTAATTCATTCCAAATGGTCAGCATCACAGTAGTTAGTTCTCTCGCCAGGTCTGGGTGGTAGCTGGAGTACTTTTTGACTACCATAGCAGTTGGCATGAATTTTTCCCCATCTCTCAGTAGTTGTTGAATGAAATATGTAATCTTGTCGTGTGATTAGAATGTTTAACACAGTTGCCCGTTACATGCCTTGAACCTCTGCAGTGATGTGGATGGCTCCTTCTCCACTCTTGTACAGTTCCCATCAATGCCCATTCTGCTCATCCACAGTTGTTGAATGTAGCTAAAATGAGAGCATCCTGCATAAGCTTGGAGTAGTAAAAGACTCAGCTGTTAGTGCAGCAGTATATCCTTTTCCCTGGAGTCGGCAGAGGAGATTTAACAACAACAAAAAAAAAAACAGAAGAAATGGTCTTCAGGCTCTGCCCCTAGTGGTTAAGGATCACATACCCCTTGCTATCAGACCGAAGTCTATATTTGTAACATGGCAGGGTGGCCACTTTATTGAGTGTGTGGGTTTTTAAATGACTCATCATCTCCCTTTAAGTTTTGATCACCTGCTTGTGCTGCGTCCTCAGCAGCAGCACAGAAGAGACAGTGAACTGTGGCTGTTTCCAGCTCTCCCTGCTGTTGTATGCCTGCCACCATCTGCTGTGCTAGCCAAGGCCAAAGCTTGAGAGCTCTCTGACCATCTGCAGACAGGCACCCTCTGGGGTAGGGAGCTGGGAAGGAAGCAATAGCATGAGAGCAGCAGGTGGGGTCAGCAGCTACCACTTCCATTGCCCAGGCAAACAGACTGGCTTGACCTTGTATCAGTGTTTATATTCATTTTATAAAATATATTGGGAAGTAGTCCCATACTGTTCTTTAAATCTGGAGGTGTTGACAGTAACCTTATCTTTGAGTGTTTGCTAGACATGACCTTAAAGTACCATCTGCACTGTGAGGGGAAAGCAGGGGTTAGTAACCTTGGGTAACATTAGATATAATTTCAAACTTAGAGAAAAAAATTACAAAGACAGTGTAATGTACTGCCTCATTCCCTTGATGGTACACACCTGTATTTGTCTTACCAATTCAACGTCTGTTCAAAATTAGAGATGCTGTGGACTCATAGCAATACAGTGTGTTTACTAAGAACAAATACACATTCTTGTATAACTGTCAACTTCAGGATATTTCATTTGACAGTAACACTGTACCATCATTAACAGTCTATTCTAGTTTTGTTAGTGGTTCCAGTGACGGCCTTTTATAGCTGATTTTCTGCAGTCCGGAACTACACACTGCACCTGACTTCCATGTCCCTTGGTCTCATTTCTGTCCTTGAGTCTGAATCACCCTTACCCTTCTTCTGTCAGACATATTTAAGAGCCTGTTGAGGGGCTGCTTGCTTTACTCTTTTTGTCTGTGCCTTGCATTTCTAGGATTCCTGCTTGGTCTTTCCGTTTCTTGACTAACTTCCATTTGTGATGGTTTGAATAAGAACTGCTCCCATAGGCTCATGTAATTGAATGCTTAGTTGCCAGGGACTGGCACTGCTTGAAAGGATTAGAAGAATTAGGAGGTGTGTCTCTAGGGGTGGGCTTTGAGGTTTCAAAAGCCCAAGCCAGACCTCTCTCTCTCTCTCTCTCTCTCTCTCTCTCTCTCTCTCTCTCTCTCTCTCTCTCTCTCTCTCCTCTCATGTAGCTCTCAGCTACTGCTCTTGTCTGTCACCATGCCCTCTGACATGATGATAATAGACTAAACCTCTGAAACTAAGTAAACCCCCTACTAAATGCTTTCTTTTATGAGTAGTAAGACGCCATGTGATGTTGTGTGTGGCTGCCTTTGCCATTAGAACCTTTATTGTATGGGCCATTGACATTTGTGGTCTCTGTGGAGTGGCTCTTTGTTCTCTGTCATAACTGGTGTTTTTCCTTCATTTTTCATTCATGAATGGTAGTAGCCATGGGTGCTTGCAGCTTGGTCAGTGGTGAAGGAGATCCTTTATCCCACAGGAAGATAGGACTAGCTATCTTACCACACTGCAGCCTTCCTGTTCTGTCTGCTTCATCATCCATATTTGGTCTGCCTTTGAGCTGCCTCAGAGACCGATTGACAGAACATCCCAGTGATAGTCATCTGTGACAGCTTGTAGCCTGCTAGTGACAGGGCTGCTGTTCTGATTCTGCATCAGTCCTCAGGACCCTGAGTCTCTAGGAAGTAACTTTCACCATTGTCTATTCCAGTGGGGCTGGCTCTAGCCTGGCATCTTTAGGGAGCTTGAAGGGTTCTACAGCACAATTCAGTGCCTGATAAGGGTCAGACTACTTGGCTAGTTGTATGAGGAGCATATTGGCCTTATGTTTTGTTTTGTTTTGTTTTGTTTTTTTCTTTTTGCAGACTGAGTTGAGAATACAGATAGAACGTATAGTTAGCTGTGTTAGCCAGGGTTCTTTGAGGGAACAGAACTGGTAGAATTAACACATATATGAAAAGGTATTTATTAGAACTGACTTAAGGATACTGTCTGAATAGTTAGTTCAGCAGTGGCTGTGTAACCCTGGGAAGGCCTAGAATCCCCTAGTTGTTCAGTCCACAAGGCTGTCTATAGCTCGGCAGTCCCAGTCTGTCAGTGGAGTCTTGGAGGGTTCCTAGAGAGCACCTGGTATCAGTCTATGTTGGAATGCTGAAGGAGAGTAAGGACAAGCAGGCAGTGTTTCCTTCTTCCATGTCCTTTTATTTTGCCTGCAAGATTTAAGGTGGGTCTTCAAGCTTCAAATAGTTGATACATTCACATTGACAAACAAGATTAGCCATCACATTGGCGGTCATTGACTAGATTCCAGCTGCCCTGGCTGGTTACTGCTTAGGTGGCTGAGTCAATGGCCTGTGTTGATGCCTAACCATTTTGGGATACTTAATGGTATCCTGTAGTTCTATGGCTTCTGTTTCTTTCTTTCTTTCTTTCTTCCTTTTTTTTTTTTTTTTTTTTTTTTTTTCCCTCATTGTTGTAGCATAGAATGTTCTGTTTCTTCCCCTGAACAACGGTGGCCACGTGGGTGATCCCAGTCCTAACTGAGTAGAGCTGTAAGATTGCCAAAGTTTCTTTGTAGATACCCCCATGCCATCTGGAAAATGGGACAAGCTTCCTTTTCCAGTTCCCTTCCCTCATACCCATCCCTTTCCCCATGCATCTGTCACATCTGCTTGCTGGCTTCAGGGGCTGGTTGTAGCTCTTTCCCCTGCTCTAGTACCCTACGTCACTTCTGTGCAGTTTACTACATATGTCTCAGTTTCAGGGGACCATGTTGCCAAGCAGTACCTGGAAACTTATTATAAATACATTCTGTTTTTCAAATAGTCGATGTTCATAACATCTGCATTTTAACATTTAGAAAAATCTCATTAATGAAGTAGGCCCCTTAAAAGCAAATGCTTCTACAGACACCTTTGCCCTAATCTGCCATTCCTGTTCTGAGTTGGTGGGCTTCATTTGTCTTGGCCAGTTGTGCTTTGTCCAGATGAAGTGTGGTGATTGCTTCAGATTCTTAGCATGCTGTACAGGGAGGACTTGCCAAAAAGATGTGGCCAGATGCTCATTTACCCTGTTCTTGCCAAAGGTGCAGGTAGTTGTGGGAAATCAAGGCTCAGTGCTGCTGGTAACGTATACATCTGTGTATATGTGCCCCTTGCAGGTCAGACATGTGTTGATATTAAAGACAATGTGGTGGATGAAGGGTTCTACTTCACTCCCAAGGGAGATGACCCATGCTTGAGCTGTACCTGCCATCGAGGAGAGCCTGAGATGTGCGTTGCTGCCCTGTGTGAAAGGCCTCAGGGATGTCAGCAGTACCGCAAGGACCCTAAGGAATGCTGCAAGTTCATGTGTCTGGACCCAGGTGAGGCAGCCAAGCAGTGATGAGGACTCTCAAGAATTTGTTAAACATTACACAGCAGCAATGGCCATGTCTACTTACATAGCTGACGCAGGGCTCGGTAGGTGTGTACACTCACGCCCACACATACACACATACACACACACACCACACACACACACACACACACACGGACGGACGGACGGACGGACACATGCATACACCACACACACACACACCACACACACACGGACGGACGGACGGACGGACACATGCATACACCACACACAAACACACCACACACGGACGGACGGACGGACGGACGGACACACACATGCATACACCACACACACACACACGGACGGACGGACACACACACATGCATACACCACACACACACACACACACACACACACACACACACACACGGACGGACGGACGGACACACACATGCATACACCACACACACACAAACACACCACACACACACACACACACACGGACGGACAGACGGACGGACACACACATGCATACACCACACACACACACACACACACACACACACGGACGGACAGACGGACACACACATGCATACACCACACACACACGGATGGACGGACGGACACACACATGCATACACCACACACACACACACACACACACATATATATATACACGTCACATTGCCTATTTCTCACTGAGGTAGTATTTACAAATAAACTTAAACTTCAGCATTGCTGATTGTTTACAAATCAACTTGGCAACTCAGGCCTGTCTTTCATTTCTTAAGAATAAGACCTAAACTTGAAATTTACATGTGCATTTGAATTCTTCCTCCTTGTATTATGGTAGAATGTGGAAGATAGGGAATTAAATAGTCCTTGCTTGTAGATATTGGTGTTTTAAGGATGCCCTTAATGTTAAGATAAAACTCTTCATCAGCCAGGCAGTGGTTGGACACACCTTTAATCCCAGCATTTGGGAGGCAAAGAGGCTGGTGTCTGTTAGTTCCAGGCCAGCCTGGGCTATAGAATGAGTTCTAGGACACGTTCTCTGTAGTGATACACACACACACACACCTCTTTATCACTAGGTGGTGCTCTAAGGTACACATTGTGTAGTCAGGTTTCAGGATAACTGTCTGTATTCCTTCCATTTGCAACAAAAGAATGTTCATGGGGCTTGGATAGTCTCAGTAATAGAGCACTTACCTAGCATGTGCAAGGCCTGGGGTCCTGTTTGCATTCCTGGTAGGAAAACTCAGCAGGTTTGAGTCCTGCTTAGGCATATTAACACCCATGAACACCCTGTATGGCCTCTTTCTTTGCTATACATCAGAGCTACTGACATCTTAGCCTCAAGAGAAATATAAATTAAAAGCATGAATTTCTTCTTTCTTTGGGTGCCACAATGATGTGGGTAGGCCCTGCAGAATAATAGCTTGGGCGTGAAGATTGTGTCCTCATCCTCCAGGAGCTCTGTGGAAGGGAAACTAGAGCTGGAGCATGAGGCCACAACTGTGAGTACTGTCCCCTGAGCAGAGTGCCATCATCGTCCTTCCCTAAGGGCTGCCAAGTAGGAGAGTGGAGGTGCCTTTTTGAGGCTGTGTCTGAGGCTAAACAGAAGCAGGCATTCTGCACATGTACTCAGACATGAAGTAAGTGCAGAGGCCATGTTTCTGGGAGGCCCACCAGAGTGCAGAGAGCTTGGGATTGAGAAGTGGATACTTGGACCTCTTCCTTCCCATAGATTAGAATATATCCACTCAGGGTCATGAATATACAGATACCAACTGGGTATTTGCAAAGTTTCCTGTGCCCCTAGCCACACTGCTGTAATTTCCAGCTCAGTTTATGGGAGTCAGTTCATGGTTCCACTTCTTAGGAATCTTCCAGTACTCCCCTGCAGCTCTGTCTGGAATCTGTAGAAATGACCAGATTATACAGGGTGGCACATCTGTGGTATAGTTAGCCTATCGAGCCTGACCCAGCCAATGGAGACTTCTCAGCAGAGCAGGACCCTTTCTGTGTCTAGTGGGCCCAGAGCTTCTGCAGGCCACTTTTCCTCACAGCTGGAGCAGCTGGTTGGGACCTGCTCTGCTGTGCCTGTTCCCACAGACCTTGTCTTTCCCACAGAGGCCTTTGCTAGGGATTACTCACTTACACCAAGAACCAACCCTGCTACAGAAGTGGAGACAACAGGAACAGTCTTAGCCTTCAGTTTTCCCTTCAGCGATATAAAGGTGACTACTCTTTCTTCAGCATTTATTCAAGACCAGAGTCATTGCCAGGGAAGGAGAAGAAAAATAGGTATTTGAAACAAGGAAGAAGACATGAGAACATCACTTTTCCAAATGATATAATTACAAAGAAAGTCCTGGAGGATCTGCAGGAAAGTTACTAGAACCACTAATATGTTTAGCAAGGTCTTCAGACAGAATGTCGATCCATTGTGTTTATGTATACTATGTTACAGCTAAATATTGAAGATGTAAAGAAAGCACCACCTAAAATAGCCACCAATAGGAAATGTCTGACTGTAAACTCTGCATACTGTATGTGCTGCCAGCATGAAACACTGGCGTAAGAACAAAATCAAAGACTTTAATAAAAAGAAGATACCAGCCAGGTGGTGGTGCACGTCTTTAAACCCATCACTCAGGAGGCAGAGGTAGGCAAATCTGGGAGTTTGAAGCCAGCCTGGTCTACAGAGCATGGTCCAGCATAGGCTCCAAAGCTACAGAGAAGCCCTGTCTAGAAAAACCAAAAAAGAAATATAGCATGTTTGTGGATTAGAAGGCTCAGTATCACTAGTAGGTTAATTTTCCCCAAATTAACTATAGATACTGGTATAAGCCCAATCAAAAATCCACCTCATATGTTCCTAAGCAGAATTCTGTCCCCCCCCCCACCCCCAGGCAGGTTTTCTCTTTTTAACAGTCTTAGCTGCCCTGGAACTTGCTTTGTAGACCAGGCTGCCCTGGAACTCACAGAGATCCTCCTGCCTCTGCCTCCCAGGTGCTGGAATTAAAGCAGTGCACCACCACCATCCAGCCATATAGAATTCTTATATTCAGAATATGTAAAGAACTCTGGAGGCTGGGAACATAACAGTTCATACTATGTTTGCCTAGTATGCGTGAGTCCTTGAATTTGAGCCCCACCCAGCATTGCAGAGTAGAGCATGGCAGTGCAGGCCTGTAGGCAGGAGGGTTAGAAAGAAGGTCAGGGCTATCATTAGCTACAGAACAAATTTGAGGCCAGTTTGGGATATATGAGATTTTTGTCTCAAAAAACAAACAAGTCCTCTAAAAAGCTCAGTAATAAGAAAATGCAACTGTATTAAAAACATACTTCACCAAAGAAGGTATATATTACCATATTGTAAAGGACCTAGAAAAAATGTTCAGTATCAGTTATATGGGAAAGTAACACACATGGACTAGAAGAGAGTTAAACTTGATAGCACACATACTGGCATAGGCAGGACCTTTACCTGCCATCTGATTCTAGTATAGCTGTCTGCTTTGTACTTGATTGTAGATGGCTTGGTCCTAGAGTGGAGGGGCAGTCCTTGAACTTATTTGTAGAACTGATTAGGAATTAGTCACTTGAACAAGACTACTTCCTTAGGTACTCACCTGGTAACTCGGTGCTGACCTCTGGGGAATATACCTGTTACTATCCCACAGACAGGAATCGCAAAGGTCATCAGAGGCATCCCAACAAGCAGCTAGTTGATTGGGTGATCTTTTCCACATATCCACTCCACAATTGAAAGCATCATTTCCTGGTCATATGAGAAGAGGCAGAATAGATCAGCAGTTCTCAACCTGTGGGACCATTGGAAAACTCCATTTCCAATGGCCTTAGGAACTGAGACACCACTCAGGAGCAATGAAGGTAATTGTATGGTTGGGGTCACCAGAGTTGAAACATTAGTTGAGAACCTCAGGTCTAGATCAAGCTAGCTAGCAGGATTTGTTAGGGCTCTGTAGCCTGGCTCCTCATGTGTGGGTCATGGAGTAATTTTCTAGGCTAGTCCTTGGGAATCTACCTTCCAAAACTGTTGTAGAGCTGGGAAGTGGGCACCTCCAGATCTATTAGGTCACTGCTTCCAGGAGGGACCACACCCTAATCCATTGGCGTGAGACTATAACTAGGTTGAGAGCACATTAGAAGCACCAGTCACACAGTGTGTGCACTTGGCAACAGATGTCACCTACCTTCATACCTGGTATTAGTAGACACATCTGCTTGGTGTATTGGCATACTGTACTAAGGTTGAGTGGCTTCCTGTCTGCCTGGTAATCACTGTCTCTGACCTGTACTCACTATACTAGTAGTTCCCTTCTTAGGTCATGACTACCAAAAGAATGGAAGGACTGAAAAGGGCTCTACAGGGTGGACCAGTTGTATCTTAGTCTCCAGTGCAGTGGGAAGGCAATTTAGCATCCTCTTTCCCCAAAATTTATCCAGAAAGAGGGAGCTGGTGCTGCCCCAGCTGCTCCTGCACCTGCATGATTGTGCACAGGATAGCTGGGGCTTCTTAAGGAAAGTCTGCTTCAGGGGTGTGCAGTGAGGGCTGTGTTGCATAGTGTACAGTGAGACTGATTTCTCTGCTGTGGCTTGAAGACTCATAGCTGCAGTGGAAAACTATTGTGAGCAACAGTGTTCACAGTAATTCTCCTTGTGAACCTCAGCCAAGACAGTTGTTGGAAGGCGCCATGTAGCAGCTTTGTCTTCCATGTGGTCCTCCAGTGAGCTCAGTATTAGTCTTACCTATAATGTCATTCTGTCACTGTTAGACACATACAACCTTGAGAAGGCACCTGGCTCCTAAGTTATGTCACAGTTCAGCTCTCCAGTGCCCACTAGTCCTAGAACAGGAGTCTACTTCCTTGCTCAGTGGTTGTTGCAGCAGCATTTCATAGGGTGGCCAATGAGAAAGAACCCGGGTGAGGCCAGGCAGTCACTGTGTCCCAGAGCAGAGAGGTGGCACGATTGTGCAAGCCTTTGGAAACTTCCGAGCTGTGTTCCCTTTCTTGCTTTGTCATTGTTGTCACAGTATGTTCTCAATTTTAAGCAGTTTTCTTTTACCCTCTGTTCTAAAAAATTGTCAAAGACAGTGTAAACAGCTACTGGGGTGGAGGGGCGAAGGCTCAACCAGCCCAAGGCCTTGGCCCCAGCCCTGCAAGTTCCTTTTCTCAGAGCAGCTGCTTTCCTTCTTCCTCACCCCTCCTCATAGATGGTAGCAGCCTGTTTGACTCCATGGCTAGTGGGATGCGCCTGGTCGTCAGCTGCATCTCCTCCTTCCTCATCCTCTCACTGCTGCTTTTCATGGTCCACCGGCTGCGCCAGAGGCGCCGGGAGCGCATCGAGTCCCTGATTGGAGCAAACTGTGAGTGCCCACCCAGGGCCACAATAGTGACCCTCAGTCCTCCTAGGTCTGCCAAGCTTCCCCTGTCCTGAATTGTATCCTCCAAGGTAGAATCTGGTGAGATAAGAGAAAAAGGTGTCCCTCTGCAGCGACATGCTTGCTTGCCTTGGGGCTGAACCTACCTTAGGGAGCCAAGAATGTGGGACACCTGGGGAGGTACTGATGGGCTAAAATTCAAGATAGGCCTGCTACCCTCTCTGCTCTGTATCAGGAGCAACATCTCTAAACATCCAGGCATTTTCTTTTGATGAACTTTGAGTATGGGCACGTGCCAGGGGAGGCTCAGATCCCTGTAGCCACATCAGGCAACTGAGATAATGTCTTAGCCAGAGTGCCCCATCTCCCTAATAACAGGAGGCTTAGGAGCAGGTTGCCAACAGCTACACGGGACCTCACCTGTTCTGTGAAGGGGTTCCCCAGTGTTTCCAGGGCAGGGTTGAAACTTGCTAACTAGGACCCTGAGTTTTTAGCAATTGACAGCAGTGTCCTCCTAATCTGTCTTTATGCTCATGTAAGTTTCTACAATAGACAGAATTGGAGCTGGAGGCTACAGCATGCCAAGGGTTTGCCCCGTAACCAAGTGTCAGAGTAGGAATAGGTGGGGTGTGAACACCTTAGTTGGAGAAATCTAGGGATGGGAGGTTCTGGCCAAATCAGTGTGACTTGTTAGATGTGGCTGGCAAGTAGGTAGTTGGTTACAGGAGTGTGACACTAAGCTGGCAGGGACAGGAGTGTGACACTGGGGTGGCAAGGTCAGCCTTGGGAAGGAGGCTCAGGAACCAGCAGCCTGCTACCAAATCACACAGCTTCTGTCCTGTTTCTGTTTTGATGGCTCAGTGCACCATTTCAACCTTGGTCGGAGGATCCCTGGCTTTGACTATGGCCCAGATGGGTTTGGCACAGGCCTTACCCCACTACATCTTTCTGACGATGGGGAAGGTGGGACTTTCCATTTCCACGACCCTCCACCTCCTTATACAGCATACAAGTACCCAGATATGGACCAGCCGGATGATCCACCACCACCCTATGAGGCTTCCATCAACCCGGACAGTATGTTCTACGACCCTGCAGGTGCCTGTCCACCCTAGGGAGAGGGAATGTGGAGTTGTCAAGCAATCAGGAATACAGGACCAGGACCATAGGATTTCCTGGGATCTGGGGATCTCCTTCCCTTCTCATCGCCGTCTTAGTCTTTACTTTAGGGCCATTCTCAAGATTTCCCCTGCAGAAGGCACTTGGTCTTGGCTGCCTTCGGGGTGTTGAGAGTTCTGGGGCTCATGGGCAGCATCCTTCTCTTCTTCCTGTGAGCATCTGTTAGTGGTCGGGCAGCCCTTGGCCTCTCAGCCCAGCTCTGATTGTTCCGAACCATAAAGACACTACCATAACAGTTCCTAGTGTTGTGTTGAAAAGTTGCTTGTTTCCCACCTGACCCCAGTCTAGCCTTCTAGACTGCATAGCTCAGGAGGAGTGTGCTGCTTCCCTCCCTGCCCCTTGCCTGACCCATTAGGAGTCCTGTCCTGTCCCCTATGTAAACATGCCTGGCTCGTCACAGACTGCACTTTGCAACAGAGTGGGACTTTTAATACTGCTATGGTCTAGGGCTATGAGGATTGGATTCCTGCCTTCAGAGCCAATTGTCAGGCTGTCATCAGAGAGGCTACAGTCAGAACTAGGGGCATAGCTCAGCTGGTAGAACATTTGCCTGGCATTCTAGAGACCCTTGGTTGGATCTTTGACACTACAAAAGGGTTGAGACAAGAAAAGCTTTCCACCAAGACTACAATAGATGGATGCAGATCTCCACTCTCCAGGCTACAGGGCAGAGAGTAGGTATGGAGATAGCTCACAGCCAAGGCCTTTGGTCAACCAACATTCAGGAACAGCCCAAAGTGCTAAGTAGATTTAGGGAATGGCTTTGTGCTAACACCAATGGTTCTCCAGGCTGCCTGCTCCTACCCAACCTCTTTGCTGTAGTTACCATAGTTCTGCTATGTCCCTGTGGAATCAGCATGGCTTCTCTCTGGTCTCCCTTTGTTCTAAGCAGTTGATCACTACATCTCATCTACCACAAACAGTGGTCGCAAGATGAACTTGTGTCTGCCAGAACATTAGGCTAGGAGCACTCTAGGTCCCGTTCACCACTCAGCAATTAGGAAGGGAATCCTCAGTCTGACCAGGCCCTTACTTGCTTCTGACATCCCCCTGGTCTCCTGCAGATGACGATGCCTTTGAACCTGCGGAGGCCAGCCTGCCAACCTCAAGGGACGGTGGCATTGAGGGTGCATTGCCCAGGCACCTGGAACATCCACTGCCCCCTGCAGATACCTCCTTGACAGATCTGGAAGATTCCACAGACAGCAGCAGTGCCCTGCTGGTGCCTCCTGACCAGAACGGGAACACCCCAGCTACAGAGGCACCACCAGTTGGAGGGCGCCATCCCCTCGGCTCCCTCAGTACTGTGGTTTAGGTGACTCAGCTCATGACCCCAGTGGGCTGGGAGTATCTGTTTCCTGTTCAGAAGACACCTATCCCAGTGGGAGACTTAAAGGGGTCCTGTCATAGACCTACTCCACTGCCACATACTACCAGCAGCGGGGGGTGTACATAGAAACTGAAGGCAGGCACCCCGAGAGAGGAACAAGTGCCTGTGTCATCCTTATCTGAGGGCTTCTCAAACATGAAAAGTTTTGGGTCAGTCTCATTTTTAAATGGCAGAATGACACAAGTTTTCAAACCACACCAAATACATCTTTGGATGGGCTTACTTAGTGCACTGTCTCACCCACAGAAGCCAGTCATCAACCAGTGACTGCACCAGTGTAGACAGACACAGAGCAGGGCTACCACTATGTGCAGCACTCCTGACTCCGTAGAGACATCAGAGCATCTGTGAACTGCTTCCGGGGAACACATTGGCCGCTGCAGCACTGGCTCTCTGGGGGCATCCTCTTCCGGCCCAAATGGAAATATCGAGGTGCCAGTCCCTGGGAGAAAATTGGACTTGCCACCCCATTTCTAGCTTTGCTTTGAGCCAACACTGTGGCAGCACTCTCCATGGCGTATAGCTCTGCATGGCTCCCCAGGAGTAGACTCTAGATGCCTGTGCAGGGTTGGGCATGCTGGCTTTTCTCTGCCACACTCTGGATCCCTGTATCTGCTTGCTGGTGAATAACCATTGGGTTTAGCCAGCCCCCTTGTCTGTGCCATAAAAGGTTGTTTGTTTTGGGAAGAGTGGGCATCCTGTGTTGTGTTATCTGAGTCCACTTCACCCTATGACCACTGCTGGAACCCAGCATCTACTGGCCACACATGCCTCCCAGCCCCTCCACAGTACTGGGTACCTAGGCTTTTTGCCCAGAGGCCCCTGTTGCCAACTCCATGTGGTGGTCTGGTCTCCCGGCACAGGCCTTTGGCATTTCTAAGGGTTGGAGGTTAAGCGAGTTCTGTGCAATTTTTAGCACATCTGTATCTTTTCTGTGTTGGATGTCTGGATCTTTCTGTATCTATGTGTGTCCTCACATGACTAAATGTTTGCAAGTGATGGTGGTTCATGGGAGTTCAGGACAGGCTATCCCACATGAGCCATTTGCCTGAGCTGCTTCCTAGGCTGTGGTCAGTGGGACTGTGACTCCTGTCCAGCTAAGAACACGAGCAGGAGAAACGACTAAGACCCTCCAGCTCTTTGGTGCTCGATCAGACATGCACAATCCTAGGCACATTTTTACACTGCTTGGAAAAAACCTGTTCCCCCTTCCCATAATGGAGCATCTTCAGACTGGATCCCCAGGGCTAACTGGAGGTATAAGATTTGTCTGTCCCTGGATAGTCTGTCTCAAGGCTGAGCCCACAGGCTAGCTGCTGTGGACATCCTCTGCCAAAGGGCTCTTGCCTCCTTTACCAATGGCTGAGAAGAACGAAGTTCATCATGCCTCCTGCAAGTATTGAGTGGTGGGCACTGTGCTCCAGAACAGCAGTGGGGATCTGTCTTGGTGCCAGGCCACCCAGAAGAGTCTTAAGGACCACACAGAAGACCATATTACAGACTGAAATTCTCTGGGGACCAAATGACTTTTGGGGTTGGGGCCAGAGTCCAGAAGGCAGAGTTGCAGAGGGTGACCTAAAGTGGACCATGGTGCTGCTGAGATGAGGTGGGCCTGACAGGACTGCCAGGGTCTGTCCAGCAAGCATTCAGGGTGGGTGTGGCCTGTGTTTGGAGCTGTTCACACTATTGTTATTGCAGTCTAAGCACTGGGGTCTGCCACCCTCTCCAGATCTTACTGGTGAATAATCCCAGGTCCAGGATTTTCTAAGGTTTGTTTCCTTGCCCATCCCACAAGGCCCCAAGGGACAGGCCAAGCTCCTGGGAGGCCCCTTTCCCAGGACTGCCTTGCCACTCTTCTGAGAGGCTAGGTGCCCTCTGACCTGCCTTGAAGTGGAATTTGATACTGTACATTGTCTCAATGCCTGTTTTTACATACTTCTTTCACTAAAGATTTTAGTTTGGGTGTATTTTTGGTCGGGTTGGCATTAATCCTTTCTTAAGATGCTGTGAGAACCATTTCATCCAATGCCAAATAAACTTGTGTTATGGAAAAGGCATGGTCAGTCCTTGCTGTGGCCTGGCCCTATAGCCAGAGCTCTCCTAAGGTTTCAGTCCTTATACGCATCTAGCTGGCTTCTGACATCCCTTGATTGAGGACCAAACAGCTAGGTTTGGAGCCTCTGTGCTCCCTCTGAAGTGTTGCTAGAGTGACAGGCAGGCTGGTGTATTCTCTGGTTACTGGTGACCAGTGTGAGCTAGGCCGAGCAGGGAAGGTATTTCAATTTTTATACTTTTGTATGTGTTTGTACCTGAATATATGTGTGTGCACCACATGCATGCAGGAGCCCTTGGTAGTCAGAACCCAGGAACGAGAGATACAGCTGTGATCGAGCCTGTAGGCCTCACATTGACAGGGCAGTGACAGAACAGGCTGTCGCAAAGGCTGACAAGAGGTCAGGGTTAGGAAGGAACAGCTGAGTCCTTTGATAGGGAATAGGAGCTTCAGTCCCTCAACACATCTGAAGCAGGGTCATCATCAGCTCTGCCCTTTTGTCCTTCTGCCAGGGAAGAATCTGGTCGTCCAGCAATTGTTGTATTTGTTTCTGCAGCGCTAAGGATAAATCCAGGGACACAGGCTAAGCAAGTACTCCTCCTTCTTGGAGATACTGAATACTAGAGGGCCAAGCTTCCAGCCCACTCCCTGGTAGTCATGGTTAATCCACAGACACATGATGCCCAAGTGCAGAACTGTCAAGTGATCATTTGAAACATCAGGAAGCCAGAGAGTCAGACTTCACTACAGAGTGCCTGGGACTTGGGCATGGGGGCTTGAACCCCTGCAGTGTCTCCCAAGACCTTTTATTAGGGTAGTCCTGAGACAGGTGCATCAGTAGGAAGGCATCTGTGAACCTGGACTTGGGACAGGGATTGGAATCTCAAGTTTGTAGCAAGGCAAGAAACACCGTGCATGTCTCCTCTCCCTAGCCTCTTAAGTCTTGGGTATCAGGACCCAAAGTGACCTCACCCCTTGAACTGGTTTCTTTGGTGGTGGCTGTAGCATGTCACACTAGCTCCCTGGCTCCCATTTCCTTGGCTGTGAGAATAATAACAGATACCCTTCAGAATTAATGCTAACAATTACATTGGCTGCAGCAGCCCTGGACCAGCTCCAGCCCACCTCTGTAACTAGTGGCCTTACCTGGGCTCCACCCACCTCGGCGTGTCCACAGGATCCTTATCTACACCTTCTCACTCTCTGGCCAATGAATGATCAGCCTTCCAAGTATCCTGGTCACACTTTCCTTGTCCAGTCCAGTTCTCCAGAGTCACAGCCACTGCTGCATCATGTGGGCCCTGGGCTTCCTGCTCCTCGGCATGCAACCTGTGGCACAGGTGGACTCCAAGGGTGAGCAGCAAGGCTCTGCCTTTATCCTCTAGTGGGGCAAGTTTGGGAGGAGATGCACGGACAGGGGAGCAACCTCTCCTAACTAGCCTAGCCCCATTCCTGGACTGAGGCCAGGATGGAACTTCAAAGGGCCACGTGGTAATTCTCAGCTCGGTCCCTCCTGTCTGCAGGTGCCTGGTGCTATGACTCCCAAGACCCAAAGTGTGGTGAGGACAGTTCTAACAGGCTATATGGATCTTGTCTGCCAGCTCCTTCTATCCAAAGGACTGGGCAGCAGGCAGCAGGCATGCTATGATCATGTGTGTCTGCTGTGATCCATGGTCAGGTTCTGTGAGCCTGTGGGTGTGGCCAGGGGTGGTTCCCAGCATGAGTATGTAGCCATTTCCCAGATCCATCTGCCCTGTCTATGGGGCAGTCTGCTTGCAGACTTGGTAGCTAAGTCAGATGGATCTGGAGAGCCACTGCAACCAAGTGTGGAGGGAGGGAGGGTGGAAGGAAGATGGTCCTTGGCAGGGAATGCTTGGGTCATGGGATCCACTCAGCGCACTCCCAGACAGCCTCCTTGACCCTGCTGCAGACTCCAGTCCATGTCTCCTCAGGCCCTACCCACTGGAAGGAGCTAGCACCTGCTTGTGGGGGCCCAGCCCAGTCCCCTATCAACATCGACCTTCGCTTGGTCCAGCGGGACTACACTCTTGAGCCCTTCATCTTTCAAGGCTATGATTCGGCACCTCTAGACCCTTGGATCCTGGAAAATGATGGTCATACAGGTCAGCATCATAAGGTCAGGACCAATACACAGGCAAAAAGTCTCACCCATACACAGAGATCAGGGTACACAGAGGAGCTGAAAAGACAGCTTCTCCAAAGAGCTCCCTCTCCCACCCCCACACACAAGTGGACAGAAACTATGAGAATGTGACACACAGGAATCCAAAGCAAAGGAGGCTCTACACACATTGTAGAGCCCTGTAAATGAAACTAGCCATGGCCAGAGAATAGTCAGTTCACACCTAGATGTCAAGATGCAGTAAAGAAATGAAGGCCCTCATAACCACACTGCTGGGGCCAGTTTGATTCTCACAGTGGCGGAGGGGGTCCTGCTGAGGAGGGGTAGACTCTCATATGCTCCCCCACCTTCAGTGCTACTTCGAGTAAACTCATGTCAGCAGAGCTGCCCAGTGATCCGAGGGGCTGGGCTGCCATCACCAGGGTACCGGCTGCTGCAGCTGCATTTCCACTGGGGCAGCCCAGGGCACAAAGGCTCAGAGCACAGCCTGGACGAGAAGCGCAGCTCTATGGAGGTGGGTGCAGGCTGGACCAGAAGGAAAATGGGCACAGGGAGCAGAGGACAGCTGGACACCACCTATGGTCTGTATTCCCTAGATGCACATGCTCCACATGAACACCAAGTACCAGAGCATGAGGGAGGCACAAAACCACCCCGATGGGTTCGCTGTGCTAGCTGTGCTGTTGGTGGTGAGGAGGGGCCGGTGTGGCTCCATGCATGTGTGGAGGGAACAGATCTGTTTGGAGTCTGTGGAGATCATGGGGCTTAGGGAGTTTTCGGGAGGTGGGGGCCCATGGAATGGAGTGTTAGTGGGCATTATGGGAGGTGACCTTCCTCCACCCCCAGATCACCCAGACCCTCCAACTGGGCCCTTCCCACTGGTGTACCACTAACCTGTCTCACCTTTGGAGACACATACATAGAACCTCAAAGCTCCTCTCACTGGAATTCTCTCCAGGAGGAGGACAGTAACAACAACAATTTCTCTGCCATCGTGTCTGGCCTAAAAAATGTATCTTCCCCTGGTAAGAAGCAGGGTCCCATCTGGCTGGAAGGTGTGTGGGTGAGGAGTAGGCGTGGGAGAGGCAAGTTCCAGCTTCTGTCCCACCATCCAGGGGGCTCTATGAACCTCACGCCCACCTTCCCACTGGCCTCGCTGCTGCCAAGTGCTGTGGGGCTCTTGAGCTACTACCGATACTCTGGGTCTCTGACCACACCAGGCTGTGAGCCAGCCGTACTCTGGACAGTCTTTGAAAACACCGTACCCATTGGGCGCACACAGGTGGGAGCCACTACCCCTACCTAACCAGTGTTAGGCTCCTTCCTACAGTTTCAGCTAGCTCTCCTGCTTTCTCTGCCTGCCCCACTGCGTCTTGACCTGCCTTTGCCCACCCTCAGGTAGCCCAGTTCCAGACCATGCCCCAGACTGGGCCACCGAGTTTGTACCCTAGGCCGATCATGGATAATTTCCGTCCCCAGCAACCTCTTGGAGGGCGCAGGATATCAGCCTCTCCTGGAGCATCCATCCGGTCATCAGTCACTACCCTGCCCTGTTTGCACCTGCCTCTTTGGGGCTTGGGAGTTGGCCTAAGACTCTGGCAGGGCCCTTAGGATCCAGGGGTGACTCCTGCTTTCACAATAAAAGATGCATAGTGACCTTGGCCTAATGTGGCTGGGAAGAGGTGTGTGCCTAGGGGTCACGGGACCATGGGAAGAGAATCCTGCTCCAACCTCATTGCAACCTTCCTGTCCATACCACTGACAGGCTCTTGAGTGACTGCCCTCTTGCCCACCTCAATTATAGAAACTTCTTCCAAAACTGAGGCCCACTCAGATACCCAACTCTAACACCCACCCACAACAACATGTTATTTTGAATCTCCGGGTCAAAGGAAAGGGGTTGGAAATCAGTACATTTCAGAAATGCCACCTATACCAGAAATTACATTTTATTTTAAAAACAAGCTGATGAGCATCAAGGGGGGTTGCTGTGCCACTTTAAAATGATGACCCGGGTTGCAGTCCCAAGCCAGCCCTTAAGAAGGCACTGAGTTGGCTGGTTTTGGTGACAGCAAGTGCTATGAAACCATGCCTGGTGACACAAGGGAATTATTACCCTGTGGAAATTTTTCTAGAGAGAAGCTGGTGTTGAGTGACTGTTGGGAGGGTTCATTGAAGGGCTGTGCCTTCACTGACAACATGACCCTACAGCAGGAGGGTGGGCCCCATTATCAGTGGAGTGGTGGTGGCTAGCAAGCTGATGTCCAGTTCATGCCATTCAGAATGGCACTGTCTCTGCTACCTACATCCCTCAAGTCTGTTACACGGTACACAGTTGACACTATTCTGGTGCATGCATGGAGGTACTGCACGAAAGTGCAACCATTTGCCTCCAGCCCCTCCAGGCAGTCAGTCGCAATCTGGTCCAGATTTTCCCCTAGCTTCAAGGCTAAAAGGGGCTCTACAGCAGCATCCTCAGTCCCAGGCGGCAATTACCCATAGCGCAAAGCCATCTATGCAGCCTCTGCCGCCCACCCTTTAAATAATGGAGCATCATTGGCGGCATCTGGGGAGTGTTACAGGATAGCATGTCAGCCAGTTTGCCCTCTTCTGGGTACACCGGAGCCCTTCAATCTCCTCCGCCCTGAACAGCCGCTGAAGGCACTGGGGTTTTCTTGTGGTTCTTCCGGGCCGTGGCTCGGGTTGCCAGGCCGTCGGCGGGGGCATCCGGACCGTTCTCCGCGGTCCTCGAGGCCGAAACCAACGCGTTCACGGTGCCAAGCGCCCGCAGCAGGGCTGGACCACGGGGCTCCCGGCGGGCGGGTGGTGGCGGCGGCGGCGGCAGCAGAGCACGCAGGGCGTCCAGCTCGGCCCGCAGCTCCGCGCGCAGCGCCTCGAGCCCCGCGCCCACCTCGGCACGCACGGCCGCCAGCCCCTCCTGCAACCGCCGCTCGCTCACCTCCAGGACGCCGGCGGGGTAGGTGGCGCCGCCGCGTGGCTCCCCGCACACGGAGCACACGGAACCCCCGCTGCGCGCCTCGCTCCTCTCGCTGGTCCCCGCCGCCCCGGCTCGCGCACCCGCGCGTTCCACTAACCGTAGCAGTCGAGGAGCCTCGGCTCGCCCGGCCGCCTCGGCCCGCAGCTGGCCACGCAGGCGAGCCAGGCGGCCCGAGGCGCGGACATCTTCGGGGACCAGCCCATTGGGCTGCGAGCCGGGGTCCAGCCGGCGGCCCACGCCTCGCCTCAGCGCCTCTCTAGCGCCGTACGCATTGCGCGCCTGAGTCCACGAGCGCCCGGGCTCGGCCGCCATGCGCTACCACCTGCACCACTCTCTGCCAGCTCAGCGGAGAGGGCCTGGGCCCCAGCCTGCAGCCTAGCGACCGCTGGACCCGCGGGAACGCGCTCCTGGGACGTCTGTGGGAACGACCAGGCCTGGGGGAACCCGGCAGGGCCAGGTCCTGAGTGGCTGGGGCTCCAGGGAGGCCGTGGGTTGGGGGAGGGCTGTGACAGTAGGCAGGGGTATTTGAAACTTGGCCCTAGGGACCATGTTGTTAGCTGAGGCCCCCATATGGGACTTAGATTAGCCTCTAGGCAGCTGCAATAGCACTTGGCGCAGTGGCTGCTAAAGCCCAAAACACCTTATGGCCAGACTCAAAACCCATCTCATATCCTCTCATGTTGTCCTGACCACAGCAGGGAATGGTGGACAAGAATCAGCCTTCTCCTTCAACTCACAATCCAGAGGGTGTGTGTGTGTGTGTGTGTGTGTGTGTGTGTGTGTGTGTGTGTGTGTGTGTGTGTGTGTGTGTGTGTCTGTGTTGTAAGCTAGCCAACTACATTCGTTCCCTATTCAAGCCACATCTCCTTCAACTCACAATCCAGAGGGTGTGTGTGTGTGTGTGTCTGTGTGTGTGTCTGTGTTGTAAGCTAGCCAACTACATTCGTTCCCTATTCAAGCCACCCTAACTGCTCTATCTCGTGTCTCCTGAAGTCCGTACTCAGCTACAAGATCCATCCATCCTTGTCACAGGCATCTCCAACCCCAAGCTCTTGCCCCTCTCCCCAACCTTCTGAGGGGCTCAGAGACTGCTATGCCTGAAGCGTCTCATACGGTGGCCTGCCCATATGCAGTTTAACCTAAGCAAACAACCCTAGCCCCACAGGTAGACTCTGAGCCCCTCCCGTCTGCAGACAGTTTCTGCTTATCCCACCACAACATGCAGCCTTCCTTGACCACAGTCTCACAACTAGTAACAAGCTTCTACCACAAGCAAGTAATTTTCACAACATGGGGTAGGGGGGATTTCAAGACACAGTTTCTCTGTGTAGCCCTAGCTGTCCTGGAACTGGCTTTGTAGACCGGGCTGGTCTCAAACTCACAGAGATCCACCTGCTTCTGCTTCCCATGTGCTGGGATTAAAGGCTATGAGCCTCCTCCCGATTGAGTGCTAGGATTACAGGTGTGTGTCACTATGCCCAGTTTATTCTGCCAGTGCTAGAGACCAAACCCAGGAGTTCATTTCTGCTGAGGAACCACTTACCTGAGATACATCCCCAGCTGATTTTAAGATTTATTTTTAATTATTTCATGTGTATGATGTTTTGCCTGCATCTGTGTCTGTGTACCACCTGTATGTTTGGTACCTGAGGAGGTGATGAGCCTCCATGTGGATGCGGGAATTGGGACCTGAACCCCAGACTTTCACAGCAAGTGCCTTTAACCACTGAGCCAACTCTCCAGCCCATTTTTGTTTAGTTTTGCGACAAGGACTTGTTATGTTGTCCAGATTGGTCTTGAACTACTGTCCTCAGGTCTCTCCTGCCTCAGCCCCCAGAGCAGTTGGGACTGACTGTAGACACATAACATTTCGTCTGGCATACAGTGATTTTTGGTGACTCTCTGTCCCTCCACAGTGAGGTGTCAGCCCACAGCTGGCTCTTCTGGGTTGAGTCTGGCACTGGACTAGGTCCTTAGTGTTGGTAAGCGTGCTGAATGTTTGATAAGAGAATAAATATATGGATGCTCAAAGTTGAGCATAGGAGCTCAACTGACCCCTCCTAGCCACCCTGGCAAGTCCCTGACCTTGCTAACCTTTCATCTTCAGACTGTCTTTATTGCCCTTTTGCTTTCTGTGGAGCCTCTCACTACTGTCCTGGTTCATCCCCATCCCTGTGCAAATTGAACTGTGCCTGTGTATGGCACAGTGGGTTATGTATCCCTCTAGAGGGCAGTATTTCCCCACCTGTCATCCTCATTGTACCCTTGGGGCCTTGTTAGCACTCTGGGTGCTCTGTGCCCTGGGACCTCCCAAGAAAATTATGAGGAGGGAGGTTTCTGCATGGACAGAGCAGTGCTGGGAGGGGGCTCTGAATGCCCAGGTGCAGAGAGGCCTGCACATGTGCATGTGTACAGGGGAGTCTGGGGGTGCTGTCTGAGGGCCACCTGTTTCCCCTATTGTTCATTCACTGTAGCTCATAAGGTAAAGCCAGGAGATGAGAATGTGGCACACAGCCTCTTAGACTTCCCCTGTGCTTACCTTCCCTGTTCCTGGGACCTCCTGTATTTAGCCCAGATGAATTCTAGAACTCATTATTCATGCCCCTCCCCAAGTTGCTAATTAAAATGCTGCTGACTAAAAAGTCCCAAATCCCTGTCCTCACTCTCCAGGCTGTGTGGCCAGAGTGGCTCTACCCTCTCTGAAACAAGTCTACACCCAGGAAGCTTAGCAGCTGGGAGGGTGACAGAGGGTGATGGGCTCTGAGCTTGCAGACCACTGATGGGAATGTTAAAGGCAGACAGGGCCTGTGCAGAGAGCAGACAGTTTGGTGTTTCTGTATTTGACTCTTTTATTATGAATTAGCTGAGCTACATACACACTAAGCCTCTGCAGAGAGTTCCAGGTTGTCCCTTGTTAAGACTTCAGATGTGGGGTCTTATGCTTGTGGCAGAGGATCCAGAAGCCATGGGGTGCGTGGGAAGGCTTGAGGAGTGGCGTTCAGAGCAGGTCTGCAGGGATGAGAGCTGCAAGGCAAGCGTGAGCGCACAGCCCTGAGCAAGCTTCCGAGCAAGCCTCTGGAGCCTGAGCCTCTGAGCTCAGAGTTTGAGGTGGGAGGGGTTATTGTACTTGTCTCACATGGACAAGGCCCTGGGATCTGACCCCAGTACCACGTGTGGGTGGGATAAGGCTGTGTAGAGCCTGGTCTAGGTCTGATGGGTGGTGGCAGGGCTACAGCAGATGTGGCAGTCTTGAGGCAGAAGCAGGAATGGAAGAATAGACAACTATGACCCAGATGGTTGCTCAGAGAGGCATCCCCTCAAAAGACAAAGATGAGCAGAGCAGGGGCAGGGCTGGAGGGCACAGACAGGGAAGATTGGCAGGCTAGCTTCTTAGAGCCAGTCAGCCCTTAGCTCCCCACATGGGGGGGGGGTAACTCAGGTCAGGCCTAGACCAGGCACTGACATAGGGAGCCTGGCTGCAGGGTTGTCCCCCATCAGCTCCTGCTCTAGCCCTGTGCATCCAGGTGGGACCTCCTGGAAGGGCAGTCAGTGACCATAGCACTCATTAACTTTTGAACAAGGCGAGTGGGGTTGGGATACCTGGAGCTCCAGGCAGGGATCTAGATGGGGGCAATCTGTGTGACTCAAATGTCGTCACCATGGCCGCTGTTGCACCCTGTTACTATTAAACCAAGATAGAATTTATTTCCCAGAGCCAGAGGGCACTTGGGAGCCAGGAGAGCACTCAGCCATGTTGGAGGGGCTCTGGTGGCTTCAGAGGGGAAGGAGTTGTGGGAACTACTAAAGGGTGGGAAGGCAGCTTCACAGTCCTCATGAGGAGAGTCAGGGCACAAGTACCCCCAAGCCAGGCCTTGTGATGTAGAGCTCTGTCTTCTCCGAGTGTCTGGCCAAGCTCGAGCTGGCTTAGTTCTTGGTGAAGCAGCTGTAAGCCTGTAAACCTTGAAGCCACCTGGCTAATTTTGTGGAAACGGACTGGAGGCAGCCACCTGTGCAGCCCCAGAGCTCTGGCACTGCCTCCTGAAAGTGGCAGGGTACCAGAGGGAGTGAGGAGAGCTGGAGGGAGCAGGATCAGGGCACAGCCAATAGGTGTGTATGTAGCCTTGCAGGGCTCCAGCTCCTGCACCCACCTCTGGTGGCCCTGTCACCAGAGTTTCTAGTGTACAGACTGGACCTTGGCAGTCCTAACAAGCTAGCTCATTCTCAGCAAAGTGACAAGTAATATTAAGAAGCAGAGAAATGAGATGTATCAAGTATGGTGACACTGAGAAGAGGGACAAACAGTGCCCTGGCCCCCAGGCCGTCTCTGGCAGGAAGTCCATACAGTTAAGCCATGACTTCTGCTCTGTGGCCTGCAAGGCTGTCTGATGAGCTGTCAGCACTTTCTGAAAGCACTTTCTGGGAGAGAGCCCTCTGTTGGCTAGCATCAGGCTTTTCCTTCCTCCAGCATAAAATTTCTGGGAAAATTCTAATTCCTTGTTTAATTGTTCAAACAGTCTGATGGCCCTGATGACAGAAAGGGGCTGCAGACACCTTAGGATGACTGAGCCCCTGCTGGGGCAGATATAGACTTAGTTTCCCCACCTGTCAGGGCTCTGGAAATATCTATGCCACGTGAGGGGGAAGAGATCTCTGGACTGGGGGAATCTGTTTCCAAACTGAGTGGAAGAGGCTGGGATCCCACCTGAGGGTCACTTCGTGGTCCAGGCCTTCCTCCCTCGGGGCTGCACTTGGGCATAGCTTGCCCTGAACACCCCTGGGTATTGGACACAGAGGTTTTCTGGGAACTGTACTGGGGCAGGTGGCTCTGCAGGGAAGAATTCATTACTCGGTAATGACCTTGTCTGACCCCCTAATGAGCTCATTACCTCTTTAATGGCTTTGTTTGCCCAGACTATGTCGTCAGCAGCCTCTTAGCCCCTGGAATATCTGGCCTGAGGTGGCTCTGACCAGTCTAGGCCTTGGGCCTTGACCTCTGTGACATGTCTGGGACAGAGATGGGAATAGATTCCCCCACCCACCCCAGCGTGTATGGCTCAGCAGCCTCAGCTCCTATTGCCTGTCCCCTTCCCAGCAAATAGCCTGGGTGGAAAAGGCCTTTGCCCCATCTGTTTCAAGGGGAAACAAACAATCCTTGCCAACCAAATTTTACTCCTGCTCCTGAAACTCCTTAAGCACACCTTGAACTTCCTACTGGATACGGGTTTCAGCATGAACTCTGAGCCTAGCACAGGACTCATGTCTGTAATCCAAGCATTTGGGAAGCTGAAACTGGAGGACTGCTGTGGGTTCAAGACCAGTCTGTGATATAAAGTGAGTTCCAGGACAGCCTGAGCTAGAGAGTGAGAGCCTGTCTCTGCAAACTGAAACTGAAAAGGAATTCTTCTGAATCAGTTTCCCCAGGGATGGATCCCCACCTCGGCCTCCACATGTCCCAGATGGTCGTGACCTGGCCCATCTTCAACAAGACTCCCCCTTGCTTTCTCTCTGCAACATCTCATCACGGCCCCTCCCTGTGACTCCACCACAAATTCCCATTTGTCGTATTGTGTTTGGAGCTGAATCCCGTCTCTTCCTCCCATAGCAGAACCTATACCACCACAGTACCTGACTCTACCCAGATAGCCCTCAATAGAGACCTACAGGATTATAATGTGTGGCTGAATCATTTTACTAT